GGGGAGGCTTGCTCCTCCCCTCCCCTCCCCCAGCTGCTGTCGTGTTGGACTGGGCCTGCTGCTCCCTGCCACTGCTGTGGCGTCCCAGCTTCTCCCCTGGCTTGGGCTTGGTCCTCCTCCCCACCACATCAGGCCTGGGCCCACTTCTCCCCTTGCCCCACCACCACCGCCATGGCATGCCTGCTATTCCCCCAACTCATGTCAGGCCTGCTCCTCCCACAGTCGCCGCCACATCATCTGGTGTCAGGCCCTGCAGGCGGCAATGACAAAAGGGGAATGTGGAGCAGGCTAAGGCCAGAGCCATGGCCTTGCCCCCCCCCCCCGTTCCGTCTGCTCTATTGCCCCTGCCTCCAGGGAGCAGAGCGGGAGGTGGGGTGGGGGTTGGCCTCGCTCCCCCGCTCTGTCTCCTGTGTCCCCACCATCATGGCAGTGCTCCACTGTGCTGGCAGCTCCTGTTCAAACGCTTATTCGAACTCTGATTGACTGTTTGTCAGCCAGAGCATGAATAAAGCGTTACAGACAGACTTAGGCTTTTATAATATTAGAATTATTTATTAAAATGATTGATAAAGCTCCTTCCACTTAGCTAGCTACTTGCGACGCATTACATCACAGTAAAACAGTTTCTAAAAAGTGTAAAACCTTTCTAAAACTTTATTAAATTTTGAAGAGGTGAATAAGGAGCATCTACCCTCTTTTAAAAAGTAGCCCACTAGTTCAGTCAGTTTTTTGGAGTACTTGGCTTCACCTTTCATGTTAATGTGTTATCAAGAAGATAACATAAAAGGAAAGGTGTTACTAGTTTAGTGCTGTGTATTGGTTAGAAGAAAAGAGACAATAATTGTATTCTCTCTTATTTATAGCTGGTATTCCTGGTTGATTAACAGCTTTGTCAATGGTAAGTGTCTGCCTTATTTAAAATTGAAGCCAAGCTTTTCTAACTAAAGGCCTACATTTATTCTGACATCAGCGGGAGATGTTGGTGCTAAATATATTTTTTTTAATTGGGCAGCTTATTTATCTATCTAGGACTGGGCTTAGAAGTCTAGTTTTATGTTCCTATGTTTTAAGATTGGCTCAGGTTTAATTTTACAAATGTGAAAATAGTGTTTGGGCTTCTCATTTCTTAGAACAGTACAGTATGGGAAAAGAGTGATTTTGTTTGTGGATCCAGAAATGATAATAGTCCCATAAGGGATCAGTGGGCCCTAGAATAGTAAGGTTATAAAGGAATCTAGATTATTCTGATAACGCTATGAAGATAATTATATAAGCGTCTCCTGCCTTTGTATCTCCTCTTTGTTAAGAAGCCTTGTTGATATGATGTGGGGAGGGAACCTCTCAGTCTGAAAGTGTTTCAGTTTACATGAAATACTTGCTCTGAGGCATTTACCTTAAAATGCTTTTACGTTTTATCTCCAGGGGTATACGCTTTTGGATTCCTGTTTATGTTGCCCCAGCTATTTGTAAATTATAAGGTAAGTGTAAATCTTGCTTATAATAATAGGATGTTTTTATTTTTCTGGATCTGCTTTTTTCCCACCTTTGTGACAATTTTTTACATGTTTCTTTTCCTCCAGATGAAATCAGTTGCACATTTACCATGGAAGGCATTCACATATAAAGTAAGTAAAGCTATAATTTCAAAAAGATTTGTGCTGCCAAGCCAACAATAATCTTTTATTTGAGAAGCATAGCTTAACGAGGAATTTTTAGAAATTTAAATACTAGTTTAACACAACACATTCGGAAATTGTCAGGACTCTCCATGCTTTCCCAAGCCAATGAGTTCACCACATTGCAGAACAACTGTACTGTAGAATCTCATGTCTGGATCCTTGCCCACCTTTAAGATGTTTAAATATTTGCTGCCACAACCCAAAAAGTACAGCTTGCCTCAGAATTGCAATTAATTTTACCCAGATTTGGTTTGTAGCTCTCTTCTTCTTTCAATGGGAGACAGCCTTGTGGGTTTTCAGGGGCTGCTTTTATTCAGAGATTAGTAGTATTTCCAGTCTGTCAGTGGGCAGATGTATCACCTTGTGTATCTCTAAAGGGAGATCATGTTTTGCCAGGGAAGATCTATCGCTCTCCTGTTCTATGACTCCTGTTTCAGCAGTAGACAGAGTTATGGGCAACCTTGTGTGCTTTGGTCATGTTGGGTTCCAGCTTTCTCAGATGAGTCATCTGCCTGAACTGGCATGTTTTACTGACACCAGTGTCAAATGGCTGGTTGGTATGGGTTTTCTTTCTCTTCCATCTGAAGAAAGGAGGGACTTGTGTAGAATTTAGTGCTTCCCAGTTGGAATTGGATCACAACAAAGTTAAGGTGGAAGTAGACATCTGCATGGCTGTACTAGATTGTTTCTGAGTGTGCACAGTAGCACAAGTCTAGATGCACATGGATCTTTCCAGGCCAAAATGGAGGTGTTTAAAACATTTAGCCATATGATGGAGCTTCAGTGGACTTGCAGTGGAATGGGTGACATGCTCTGGATTTCTACTCCCCCATCTCTCTGATTTCAAGGCCTTCATGTCTGGGTGTCTGTGCCACGCAGATGAAGAGAGATTAAAGGGATTTTAGTGAGAATTTGGACATTTCAGCATATGATGATAACTTTCATTTTATTGGTAACATAAAAAGCTTTCTCTTCCTACTCTACACACAGGGCTGAATGCCACTAATGCACAAGAAGCATGCTTCACCTGTCTGACAGATTTTTAAGAAGCTATAACTCGCATCAGTTTACTTGAGATGAGAAAATACAGTATGGGCATTCTTTTAAGTATAGGGTTTACCCAAACATTTGCACGGAAGAGAAGTAATTGGTAATGAAGCATTCCGAGGGAGTGAATTTGTTTTTATATCTCCTGTAATAATTCAAGCACTTTTTTGTGACAAACAAAGATAAATCCCATAGTGGAATTTCTTTTCTAATGTAACTGAATTCTTGTACCCCTCTTGCCAGTTATAAACCTAGTATAAATGGGAATGTACAGTATGTTAGTATCAATTGGTTCTGTTTATGTTAGGATAAAAAGGCATTGCCAGATCCCTTTGGTTGGAACACCTAATCGTGCATTATATGTGCAATATTTTGCATCCACAAGTGGCAGCTGTCCTAAGTGGTTTTAGGAGAAAAAATATAAAAAAGTAAGTAACTAAAGAAAAAAAAAAGCTCTGCATCCCAGAGCAGGTAGAGACTGGAGAGGACCATGCTCAGCAGAATGAAGCAGAGCTCTGCAACAGGCTTAATTTTGAAAAAAAGATTAAAGGAGATGGGATAAGTTTATGAAGAATATAGGTTGACAGAAAGGGGAATTCTGGCTCTCCAGTTAGGGTACAAGATGAGTATAATTGTGTTAGCAGTCTCCAGGTTGTTGAGCAGAGTGGAGGGTGTTTGTTTGTTTCCTGCCCATGCTTCTGGACTTTGCTGGTTGACACATGGGGCTGGAAAGGAATTTTTCCCTCCCTGTTTTTTACAGGTATCAGGGTTTTGTTTTCTTTTTTTTTTCCATCTCTCTCAGAAGCGTTAGATGTCAGCTGCAGCCAGGGCTTTGGCTTTTGACTGGGTTATGCTGATGCTGCAGCTGAGGCCAACAAAATCCGAAAGTTCCTGATTTAGAGGGTCTTGCATCTCTGCTGAGGGTCAAACCCATTGCCACATTTAGGATCAGGAAGGAATTTTACTTCACTGCCAGAATGGTATGGACTGTGAGGGTTGTTGCTTTCCTTTGTAGCAGGGGCCCTGGTTGTCTTCTTTGGATCTCTCAAGTATATTTTATCAACCACTTCCTGTCCTTGCAGCAGCAAGAAATTGAGAATGTCTCTGTTTCTCTGCTTTACCTATAGCAGATTAGGGCAGGGGTCAACAACCTACAGGCTACAGATTGGATCTGGCCCAGGCACATGGGTTTTTGATAGGGTTTAGAGAAGGATGCTTCTTCCATGCCAGGGCAGGAAGAAGCAGTGGTGGCAGTAGCTGGGTCATAGTGCCTACCTCTCACCCGAACTGGGTTGCTGACCACTGGGTTAGGGTGTTCTTAGTATTTTGGGGCAGTGTGCCTAGTAGTTGTGCAACAGGGTTGTTTGTATAACTCTATCAATATGTGAAGCAAACACTTGTATAGGTTGGTTTAGGTAGGGATATTCCTGCCATGAACAAGGTATTAGACTGAAAGGAGCCATAGGTAACTTTTTGATTCTATGCTGCCGGATGACATGGCAGCCTTAATGGCTGCTTATCACAGATCCACACCATAAGCTGATGCCGCCACATCATTTGAATCATGAAAATTGCACTTGAACTAGGGGAAAATTGATCTGTGAAATATGTAGACAAGATGACCTCTCCATGGACTGCCACCTTGACGGGGTAGAGAGGCATGTGTGTACCAGTGACCCTAAGAGCAACACCGTTGGGAGTCTTGTACTCTTGGTAAGGTCACCCATGGTGGTATGGTCAAAGGTGAGGTATCAGATGAAGAGCAGTCCAACACAGGATAATATAGACATCAATGGTGGAGCAGGCAGATGAAGAAGGCTTACTTCTTAAAAGCTGCAAGGTGGATGAAAGCTGCAGTGGAAGAGTAACCCCAGTCATCCTGAACCTCCTTGCCACTGGACACAGGTTTCTCCTCTGCCAAGATCTGCGTGGTTTCCGATGTGTAATGACCTCCTCATGTAAAACAAGCCAAGCACACACTTCTCCCACTGCATCCAACATCTACCACAATAACCAGTTGCCAATACCCATAATGTCTACAAAGTTGAGTGATGATGGGGACAGATGAAGTAATCACCCGGAGTCTCTAGTCACAAGTCCATATTCAGGCAGCAGTCACGTGTTTGGGCCCTTTACCCTTGGAATGGAACAGCAGAGTGATAAGGCAGCTGTAATTGTGACAGAGCAGTCCTTTCTTAGATCCCCATTGCTCATCCTGCCTGGGGTTGGGTTTAGAAAAGGTGCCTGAAACATAGGCTTTCCCACTTTATCTTACCCAACTGGATAGCCGCTTCCAGGGAAATCACTCAAATTGCAGTCAAAACACAAAAATGTCCTTTGCATGCCAGAATATATGAAACCTATTGGATGACCTGAGCAGTGAACCCTAATGAACATGATTGACCTCACTAAGTGACGATTGGTCCAGCAATTATCAGCTCCTCTCAAACACGGGTCATATGAATGGCTTTTAGATCTTGCACTCTTACGATGATGCAGTTGAGAAAGTGCCATTGTTCTGAGTGGAGGTGTTGCCATGTTGTTTTGTACCTGTAATGTCATCTGAAGATTGTAATAACAAGGTCATGGTCTGCACATTTACTGAGTAAGAGGATGCCATTGGAATTGGCCTTGCCCACTCCTTCCTTCCTAATGGTGCCCCTCCACATGCTAAAGTCCCAGCCAACACTTGCATTGAAATCTCCAAGGAGGAAGTTCTTATCCTCTGTCTAGATGAGTCAGGATTTCATCAAGGTCAGCAAAAAACTGTTCATTGTTCTTCCCCAGCATCGAGTGTTTTGGCGTATGCACTAGTAATGGTAGTAAACAAATTGTTGGTCAGTTGAAGGTGGAGATTTATGAGGCACTCATTAATGCCAACAGGGAATTCAGTCCTTTGGCTGCCAGTCCAGTTCTTACTGGTGAAACCAGTGCTGTGTCCTTGCCTGTCATTCACATGTTTCTCTTTCCAGAAGGACATATAGCCACCCCCTCCTCCATCAGATGGCCTTCATCTGCATGCCTGGCCTCACTGAGAGCAGCAATATTGATGTTGTATTGTGAGAGTTCTCGGGTCACAGTAGCTGTTCTACATTCAGGTCTGTCACTACTCAGGTCTGAAAGTGGCAGTACTCTCCTCAAGGATTAGTCCATCAAAAAGTGCTAGAAGGAGCACTACCAAAAGCTCCTGAACCAAGAATCAGTGGTGACTGAAATCATCAAATCCATCCTGCAGCATCCAGTAAGGGAAGCACTTGCCAACCTACCAGGTGTTAAGACAGATGAAAACAACAAAGCATCTGGCCTTGATGGCATACCAACTGAGGTCTTCAAAGTTGGTGGGGAAACTATGACCAACAAGCGCCACACTTTTTCAATATCTGGAACACTGAGGAAATTTCTGCTGACCTAAGAAATACCAATATTGTCACCATTTTTAAAAAAGGAGATAAGTCTGTCTGTGAAAACTATCGCAGTTTCACCGTCTTCTCCATCACTGAGAAGATCCTCGCTCGAATTCTGATGAGCCAGCTGCTCCTTGCAGAAGAAATTCTTCCCAAGTCTCAATGTGGCTTCAGACCATTGAGAGGCACCATGGACATGATTTTTGTGGTCTGGCAGATCCAGGAAAAATGCCAAGAACAACACTAGGAACTATGTATGGCCTTTATCCATTTGACCAAGCCTTCAACCCTGATAACTGTGAGGCTTTATGGAAGATCTTATCAAAGTTTGGCTGCCCGGGAAAATTTATCAAGACTCCTTCATGACTAGATGACTGCCTCCAACCTATGCAGTGGCTCTGCTATGGAGCCCTTTGCCATTTGAACTGGTGTCAAGCAGGGCTGCGTGATCGCATCAGTTCTGTTTTCCATCTTTCTTGTAGGTATCAAGATGCTTATCCTTGACTGTCCACCACATGCCATCAGCATTGACTACAGGTTGGATGGGAACCTTTTCAGTCTCTCCCGCCTTCATGCCAAAACCAAAGTTATTTCAGCCTTGATTGTGGAACTTCAGTATGCCAATGATTGTCCTGTCATTGCACATATGGAGGGAGGACCTACAAATGGCCTTTAACTGCTTCTCTCAAGCATAACAGTGCCTGGGACTGACCCTTAACATCAGAAAAACAAAGGTGTTTCACCAGCTTGCTCTGAGCCACTCAACTTCCCTGGTGAAGATTCTCACTGATGGACAGGAGCTGGAGAATGTTGAATGCTTTGCATGCTTCAGCAGCCATCTCTCAAAGAAAGCCAACATCAAGGAGATCCAGTATAAGATCTGATGTGTCAGGTCTGCCTTCAGACGATTGAATCATTGTGTGTTCAATGATCACAACATCAGGACTCAAACAAAGCTTCTACTATATAAAGCTGTGGTAATCCCAACTCTTCTCTACAGCTGTGAAGCTTGGGTGACCTACAGGAACCACCTAAAAAGTCTGGAACGTCTTCACCAGCACTACCTTCAGAAGATCCTTGGTATAAAGTGGGAGGATTGTCGCACAAATGCCAGTATGGAAGTGTTGATTATTCAATATTAGCTTTGGTGGATGGGGTACTGTGTGTGCATACCTGATGCACATTTACCAAAACAACTGCTGTACTGCCAACTCCTCCTAGGACAAAGGACATACAGAGGTCAGAGAAAACGCTTCAGGGACACCCTCAAGGCGAACATTAAGAAGTGTGGCATTGACACTGCAAATTGGGAAAAACTAGCCTAGGTCAGGACTTGACCTGTGGGAGTGATCATCTACAACTGTGGTGGATCGTTGCTGCCAGTGAGACAAGATGCAGCGTTCTTGAACAGCCAATGTATTGTGCTAATGGCCAGTAACTTGTGTGGTCAAAGCAGTAACTGGCTTCACTTTAAATGAGTGCATTTGTAGCAGGAGACGCAGGTAGAGAGGAGATGAAGAGAAAAGACCATGGGGCGGGGGGAGACTAATCCATGCTGACCTCTCATGTCCAAAGGGGAGAGAACAATGATATTGAAGAACAACTGGATGTAGGCTTCATCGCATATAGAGAGTGCCATCAACCTGAGGTGTAGCTATTTAATTATGCTTTTTGAAGCTGTTCTGATCTAATAGGCTAATTGTTAGGCTGGAGGGATTTCTTATAGTAAACTAATGAAAATTATTTTACTTTGACACTCCTATAAGGATTTTAAAATATTCTGTTCTTGTAGTCCTAAAATATGCCTTTAATTTACGGTAAAATGGGTTGAAACAGAAAGTGAGAAAATAACTGTTTCATTGCTTAAATTACTACATTTGTTTCCCTGATACATTGTCTTACTTCTTTTGCGTGTCTTTCACCTGGTTTAAATATGATGCAGGCTGAAACACCTGGTACTTTGTTTTGTAGTCCATTTAATTAGAATTTTAACTTAAGGCTTGAATATTGGTAAAAATGTTGAAGTAATTTGTGTGTGGAGTTAATGTTCTATGTTTCTCAGCACCTGCTTTGTTAATTTGTGAAAATGTTTCCTTTTTGGAGATGTGTATATAGTATTGCATTGTTGGCAGTACTACCAACTGAATTGTACTGAATACCTTTACTGAAAAGAATTATTTTATTTATAGGCATTCAATACCTTCATTGATGATATCTTTGCTTTTATCATCACTATGCCAACATCTCATAGACTGGCATGTTTTCGAGATGATGTTGTGTTCCTGGTCTACCTTTACCAAAGATGGTAAGCTTTTCTCCTATGCCTCTTCTTTGATACATATTTACTATTGCTAGTCAAAATATGAAGATCCATGTAACTACATCAACCAAAAAATAAAGAAGCAAAAATAATAGTTCAGTGAAGATTTAAAAGTTTCCCTTTTATTGCATATTAATGTATAGTATACTGTGTTTTGAAATCAAGTAAGTCTTGAACACTTACCAGTCTTTAGATCCTCTTAGAGATCACTCAGACGTTCTTTCAGGACAGCACTTATCTCCAGTCCGATGGCTGATTCTTATTTACATAATTAGGCTCACCTGCCTTTTAATATTTGCTTGAAAATCCCTCCAGACCCAGTAGGAAGCATGTTCCGGTAAAGCAGTTCCTCCAGTAAAATTGAATCTTGCTTTCTTTAAAATAAAATTCTAGCCCTCAGGTTACAAAGATAATTTTGCAAAGTAAACCAATAGCATAATCTTCCCAAATCTGTGGATGACTCCATTGGTTTCTGCTTCTCGGTTTTGCCATGCAGCAGAATAAAATTAACCATTTTCCCTGCTGTGCTTCAGACAGAACCTTGTGTTAGTAGTGAGGGTGTCAAGAATTGACTGCAGCTTCATGTTTGTTGGAGGGGGTTATCCAAAAGTAGACTCTCGAGTTATTGTTTGAAGAGCAAGTTTTGAAAAGGAGTTGTGGAGAGAAACTTTTCAGTAGTAGCAGAGACCTCCCATCCCCCATTCCTGCTCTCAGCCCCTTTTAGCATGCAGTGAGTACTGGAGATCATCTTAACAAAAAGGTTTTGAAGGAGACCCAAGGGGACCTTTGTTCCATCTGTTAAAGGTGGGTTGAGCTTCAGATTTGGAAGCAGAAGACTGTTCTAAGGGATTTTCTACTGGAGGACCTAATAGTGTTCATAGGCTGGCGCTCAGGAGACAAAGCAGATGATGAGCAGGAAATGCTCTTTTAGCAGACTGAGCAGCAATTGATACAGTCTTTCACTAGGAATCAACCCTACATGTAATTAATTCATATTATTTTTCCCGAAAGGCTTTATCCCGTGGATAAGAGCAGAATGAATGAATATGGAGAAAGTTATGAAGAAAAGCCGAAAATCCACAGAGAATAATTAACATAATTCTAGACGGTTCTTTCCTTGGACTGCTACTGGCTACTTGTATTATGTGGTTTGAAGGAAGAAATAAGATTGGATTGCGAAACAAGAGTATTTTAAAGTTATGACAGGACTTCATGGACAATACATCTTCTACATTGCCAAAATCTATTTTTGATGATTCTCCAACATTTCGAAGTTCGCTTTGTTGATTCCTTGAAGAAGGCTATCAGCGTGTCTGCCAGATGTCACTCAATAGCTAGACTTCTAAACTTTTCCATGACACTTAAATATTAATTTGTCTTTGTTGTTGTAATGACTCTCTAAATGTGTCTTTTGAAACAGCTCAGTAACTGGAAGTGTGATGCCTGCACTGACAAGGGGATGTTAAGCCATGAAAACTACAGTAAGCCAGTGGTTAGGTTACAACAGTTAAATGTCACTGCAGAACCACATACACATCCAAGTGTGCCACACAAAGCCATGTTCAGCTGACACAGGATATGGAAGGTTTGAAGCTGACTGACTTAAGTTATATGTAGGCTTTAAAACAAGCTCACTGTTTCAAATATTCTTCCTGGATGGAAGGGGCAAATAACCCAAATGAACAAAATATATGACAAATATTTGCCAGGCTTTAAGCCCATAATAGGACTTATATCTTTATTTTTAAAAGGCAGAGGCTTTTCAGTAAGACAAAGGAAAAAAAATCCAAAAATTCATGAGCATGTGCAGCAAGTGATTTATTTTTAGTACATATCTAATGTTGCCTCAACCCTTCTTGCATTTGCTAGCGCAATACCCTGCAATTTCCCATCAATATAGGTTTTTATATTGGCACGTGAGCCATTGTGGTATACCTCTTGTCTACATACATGTTTGCATGATAGACACTGTTGTGATCTATTGTGCCAGTTCTCTTTCATGAGAAATGTTTTCTTGGTTCTCTCGATTTCCATAACATTAACATGGAAAAATAAAGCATAATGCATTCAAATAATGGGAAGGTACTTTGTTTGACCCAGTAGATGCTCAGAAAATCAGTGCATAAAATCATCTTTTAAAAATGTGCCTGTTAAGTTAAACTGTTTACTAAAGCACATACTTCCAGTAGCAGCAATGTTGCTTAAAAGGCGGTTTCTCTCTAGCTGTCTATCATGTTATCAATTTGGGTATGTGTTAATCAGATTTCAATTCAGCACTTTAGAGAATGTTTAGATTGTGCTGAAAAGAATGTACATTCAAACTGCAGAAAAAACGTATGTATTTAGAGCCCCTATTTATATGGTTTTATGAAGCAAATTTCCATTTCATTGGCTATCCTTGAAAAGACACGTTGCTTCATTAGTGGCAAATAAAATGTCTGATTCTGACAACCAGGTTCATTCCTTGGCAATGCCTTTTGTTTTAAAGATAATTTGGCAACTTTTAATGAACTTAGATTTTATTTCTCCAGAACATGTTACTGGATTTTGTATTTTTGTTTTTTAATTACTGTTTTTATTGGAGTCTGTCAACTTATTTTAACTTCATGATGCCACTAATTCAAAATGTAAACGATAAATGATGATTTGTTTCATGAAATAGTTTTTTACCATATCCTAATGTTATGGTGGTCCATAGGCACTTGTTCTGGTTATTCATGAGAAAACAGGAATATGCCTGCCTGACTTGTCCCACTGATGTAAGCAGACCCCTTTACACCAATACAGCATAGTAAAGGAGCCTAACAACAGATATGAATTTAACTTGTGCCCAGTTCAAGGCCTCTTTATACTGGCAGCCCTATACGGGAGCTTTAATGAAAACAGAATCAGGCAGTGAGACTACCAGCAACACTGTAGCATGTCCATAAATATTGGTAGGATTGGTACTAAAGTTCATATAAACCATGCATTTATTTTATCCTGATGGCAACTATTGCTCTTTGTTATTAGAAACTTGTCTCATCTGTTTCATAATAAACAACGATATTTTTGTGTGTTGAAAATAATTGTTCTGGTATTAAATAATTTATTGAATGTACCCTTTTGTGACATTTTAAAATCAATTTGAGGTGACCTCTGAAAGTCTAATTTACTGTAGTCAAGTACTTCTAATATTTCAGCATTCCTTTTCTGCATGTAATTATTTGAAAATCATTCCTTAATCTTTGTCTTGCCAGGTTTTTTTATTATCCTTTGTAACTTTCCACGTTCCATAACTTCCCGATCGTGATAACTGATTAATCAATCACTTCCCGCGCAAGGTGGTCATGCTGAGTATAAGGTTTGAGGTTTTAAGGCAACAAGACTTTGTGAAGCTCTAATGAGTCTGTGTACAAATAAAGCATTTATGTCTGCGACCGATTGAGTTCTGATTTCTTATTGGAAAGGGTGTGAGAGAGAATCTGTGTTACTGATGGTAGTCGATGCATAGACTAAACGAAATAAACACTTTCCAATGCAGTAATCTTTTTAATAATCTTACAGAAACCATGGAGAAACATCCAGTTGAATATTTTGAGTGTTTGTGTACTTAAAAACACTCCTGCTTAAAAATATCTCAGTATTACAGATGTGGAAATGAGTGCCATGAATCATGCTCTCTAGACCGCTGACCATTTTTGTTGCTTTCCACTGGACTCTTTCCAATTTATCCATGTTTCAAGGTGCAGTGCAGCCAACTGGATATGGTGCTCCAATTGAGCCTGCACCAGTACTATTCTGGATGGGCAAGGGACACTCTTCTCTTGTTCAGACCTAGTATGCTAGAGCACCCTGTGGATTGATTCAGCTTGCTGTAATGCACCATATATTTTTCTGTAGGACAGCAGCCTAACTAGTAGATTTAGATGAGAAAGGCACCATTTAGAGCAGGTTACTACTACTTTACCACAGGTTTTTATGCCCAGTTTCCCTAGGTTTTCATTAGAGATGGCAATAATGGAATTCTGCTACCACGGTGTATGTTTTTATTAAATGCTGTGGCTTATCATTTCACAACCTTGCCATTGCCTTTTAGCCCAAGCGTCTTGTTAATGTGTCAGTCAATGTAGGAGAGGCCAGGATTTCATAGGGTGTTGTCTTTCCTTGGACCAACTGTGCAGTAGAGTTGGACAAATTTTCGAGAACTTTTTTCCTCAGACAAAGCACGCAAGACAAAAATTGCTTTCAAAAGCTTGCCTAACTCTACTACACAGTTGGTTCAACACAAGATATTGCCCTAAGAAATCCTTGCCTCACATAACCTGGACCCTCGCGGCTTAAAACATCACGTACACGCTCAGTAAATGTAGGTCTTCGCTGGGGCTGAGTCGGGAAGGCTCTTGCGCCCAAGAAAGCACAGCTGTTTGTGGGAGGGGTGGACGCGTTGCAGCCGGAGGCTGGTGAAATGCGCGCAGGTAGAAGCGAGGAAAGGGAACAACGGCGGAGGAAGAGGAGAGGCAGCACTGCAGCGCCTCCCTCCACCTGCTCTTGCTTCAGATCTAGACCTAGCCCGCCCAGGGCCGGACTCATCCTTTGGTGGGCTCTAGGCAAGCAGGCTCGTGGGCCCCAGTGCGAGACAGGGAGAGGGTAGCCGCCGCCACCCTCACGCGCGAGGAGGCGGGGCTGCGCGGGGCCCGCACGTGTGTCCGCCCCGCCCCGCGGCTCGCGGAGCATGTGCGGCGGGGGCCTGACTGGCCGGGGCTGGGGGCGGCATGGCTGGCGCGGG